GACTGCAACCTTGTTGAAGATTAACTTAAAACAACTTTGATGATGATTGACAACTCGTGTTGGTCTACTTAGACCATTCGTTTTTAGGCATTCAGAAATCAAATAATATGGCTTGCCAAAAGTATCTACAGTCGCACTTTTTGGAGGTCTGAGTATTGCTAAAGACTTTGTGGCAAAGGCTGTATCTGAGCTCATTTGATCATGATAGGCAAAAAGTTTCTTTTCATCTTCAGGATCTTCCAAGATTGGTTCCATTAAGGCTAATTAGTCCCAAATCACTTCCGCATTAGAAAGAAACTTGGTTATTGGTTGAACTTCACATAGAGTAAGAATTCCTAGAGCCCAGAAGTTGGCATCGATGAGAAATGTCAGAGGCAGAGACATGCTTGGGAAAGAAATCTCATACTTCTTTGGCAATGGCAGAATGATGAAAATGACTCTTTACAACAAGAATAGTAGTGTCATGAAACCAAGTAAGAATATGATGGTTCTTACTTTCTCATTCCTCTTGTCGGAGATAAAATGCTCTTCATTTTCATTGTTGTTTCTAATATGTTTGGACACAATCAGTGATATACTGCCATAACTTGCGTCCTTCAAGAAAACTGCACATCTCTTGAGGCCAAAGAACATAATTGGACCCATTTAAAAAATTCCATCTTCTGTCAGCTATCCAGTGTCAAAATGCCGATCAGAGTAACAAATGTCATTGTGATATGGGGATAAAATAGGCAACTTCACACAACAAAATGCTATTACCTAGATCAAGTGATCACAGAAGAAGAAGAAGAATAGAGGGAAGAAATAATAATTGAACAAGTCTCTGCCAAAATAAAAACGAAGAGAATTTATGTAGATATATAAGGGTATATACATACAAGAGATGAAACGAAAAGGAAGAAAGGTTGATTAATGCATGATCACGGTAATAAGGAATGCAATCAGAAATATCTATAATATTCAAATGACGTATAGACTAGCCATCTGGCATATTTTATTGGAGGGAATTCATTGTGATAGTGAAGTGGGTTATGTTAATTTGAATTTTTTCTTATCTTTTTTCAGGTGGACTCTTGGTTGGCGGCGTTAAGATGTGATTGCCAATTGGAGTGTGGTACAAAACTTCCCAATGGTTCAACTGAAATGTAAATTGTTCAGTCTCTTTGTTGTTTCAGAAAAGAGAAGAATGTAAATAGTTAGTCATTTATAAGAGTAAGCTTTTGATGGACATGAGTCCATTTTGGATGGGATCAGGAACCTATCTGCCCCTATGTTATTGTCGTTGTTCTTTGTTTCTTGTAAATATGATTTATTTATTTATTTATTTTCTAGAAAAATTGATATGGGTTTATGATTCTAGATTAATGATGTAGTTATGATTCTACATATAAAATCTTTGTTGTAACTTGGTACGGAGGAAAGTGAGGTAGCATAATAAATTTGAATAAGATATCTTTTTGTTACGGTATTAATAATTAATTAACTTATTTTTTAGTTTACTTGGTAATATAAATAATTAATTGTGTGAATTGGTGTAATATGATCTTTTACATTAGAACCGGACAAAACTCAAAAAGCTCACATTTCCTCATTTTATTTTTTCTAAAAAGTCTTTTATGCAACGCAGCACAGTCGTTACATTTATTAATTATTAAATGAAGATCACGTGTCTTAATTATATTTTAATTTCTTAGTATGAAAAATGAAAAATCACAATTACAGTACAAGTACCGCAGAGAGAGCAACCGGAGGGAGAGATCTTCTTCATAAATGTAGGGTTTTTGACCCGACCGCACATTACAAGAACCAATCACCATATCCCATGTTTCGCTTATTTACAAGCTCACGTGTATAAAAGCTCTCACTTCCTCTGAACCTCACTCTATCATAACTCCTCCACATTTATTTTCAACTTTCCCTCCGCCTTTCCTCGTAGCAAAAGCTCCCTCAATTTCCTTGTTTTCAACGGTTTATAGAGAAAGATGAGTTCTCTACTTTGCAGATCTGTTTCTAGAGCTGCCAGGTCTCTCCTTTCAGCTTCAAAGAACGCTCGCTTTTACTCTGGTACTTTTTCGTTTTCTATTTTGTCTTCTTCATGCTTCGATCAAATTTGCGTATGGCGATTCTAAATTTTTGGTACATTCGGTTATTCATAGTTTTGAATATTCTGGCGCCGGATCGCTGCTCTCTGGAAATACATGGTTGAGAAATGACATTAAGATGATTGATTTGGAGCCCATTAAAATTCATATGATGACATTTACGCATTCCTTTTTTTTTTTTTAATTTTTTTTTTTAATATGAATACGTGAATCCGTTTCTCAATTTTTTGTTGTTACTCTTGATGACAGTCATTCCCCATAGCTTTGTTGGTTACATGATTGAAATGGGGCCCTTGCTTTCTTAGATTTTTGTTTTAAGTTTTTAGACTCCTTTTGCACTTGGCCAGTCCATCTTTTGGTTCCGCTTTTTTTTTTTTTTTTTTTCTTTAATTTGATCTCTAGATTTCTTCTTATTAAGCATGACTTTGCGGAAATTCATTTTGTTTAACCGAAAAGAAAAAAGTCATTGCCTTCTTTTTGTTTTCAATGATGCTTCTGGATTATAGGTACTGAAAAGAAAGAAACAAAAAATGAACTTTTCGGCCTCGTAATTTGGGTCATCAAAACTCCTCCAATTCTCAAAATATAGCCTTTATATGTATATATATTATTATTTTTTTGTGGCTTAAAGAACTTCAATTTTAACTTTGTAACTAATTGTTGGAATTAACTCCTAATGTAAATTGCCATATTTCTGTTCCTGTTGATGATTTGATATGTCAAGACTCAAAATAGGACCTAAAAAGTGGAGGATTTTTAATGCTTTATGCCTGCCTTGATTCTCTTTGTTTTTACTCACCATGACTAATTTATTTGCACGTCACATCTTTTCTGCTTTTCAACTGCCTTCCTCCCTTTTGAGAGTGATCACTTTATTCTCTATATAATTGTTTGACATCCATCCATCTGCTCGTCTTACATTTAAACTTGAATTTTTTTTTTTTTTTTCTGAGAGTATTTAAGCTTGAATATATATAATGCGTAATCTGTAAGCATCTTGGTATTTGATGCCATGAAGCATGATTCTCTTGTTCATGTTCGATTCAATAATTGATGCTACAGGACACGATGATTATTGTATAACTAATTTGTAAATTGAGGTTATCAAGTTCGCTTTATAGCATCCTTCATTGAATGCATTGAGTGGTCCCATATGCAGAAGGACGAGCTGCAGCTGCCGTGGCTGCAGTTTCATTGAATGGGAAGTTACCTTTCCTAGCAGCCTTCCATGGAAGATCTGATTCTGGAAATGCATCTAGGAGTTGGGTTTCTGGAGTTCTTGCCCTTCCTGCCGCAGGTTGTACACATAACTAATCTCCTCTTTTTTTTTTTTTTTTTGTATTTCTTTTTCATTTCCGTCTGTGCAGCTAATGCTGTAGTTGAATTTTATATTTTTGCTTCAACATGCATTGTAACCTGTTTTATTTGTAAGGAATGGGATCATGCGTATCAAACGCCCCACTTTTTGGTTAAGTGGGGCGTTTTTCCTTCGTGTCATGTACAAAAGCAATATATATTTTTTATACTTCTTTTTAGTTAATTTAACTGAGACATTGTTGAAGTTTGAGTAGGAAATTAGCTTTAGTAGTTTGATATGAAAAGGAAGAGGAGCCTTGCCCCTGCCCTAGTTTTAGCATTGTGGCAACTGAGACCTCTTCTACAGCAATCACACAGTGCGTGAGCATGGAAATGGGTGAAATATTCTTTGCTGAAATTTTTTACAGCTTTGACTTCGTTCCATTTTTTTTTTCCCAACATTGTACCATGGCATTTGCCCTCTCCCATCTACCACTACTCACTTCTAGCAATGTTTTCTTTTCTCCTGTCAAACTAGTAACTGTAATAAGAAATTGTCAGTGTATCCGGATTGCTCATCAACTAAATAACGTGGGATAAATTTTCCTTCTTCCTTTCTACTTTAGTGGTCCAAGTTGCGTTTTGCTAAAGAGAAAGGTCTATGCTACTCATAACTTTCTTTTTATTTCATATAAAATTTGATACTAATTTGCATTTGTTTTACTCTCTTGTTGTAGCTTACATGCTTCAGGAGCAGGAAGTACATGCTTCAGAGGTACCTTATCAACTGTTTATTCATATCCACCTTCACTTACTTTTTGTCACTTCTTATTTTCCCTCATTTCTTCGTTTCCATTTTATTCCACTCAAGTGTTCGAACTTTTTCTCTATCCAGATGGAGCGTACCTTCATTGCTATAAAACCCGATGGAGTGCAGAGAGGACTGGTAAGATGTGATTTCAATCTTTTAAACTGAAAAAGCCTATGCCTGTGTCAAGCAACTTAGCTTAAACTATAAAAGTAAATATCATACGAACTACTCTAAACTACCTAAATGGCTTCTGGATGAGTTGTGTTGATCCTGGTTTCATTGTTTCTCACCCTCCTCCTCTCTCATGGAACTTTATCATCCTTTTCACCTCATCTTTCATGTTGAGAGCGGAAATGGGTGACATCTGATTAGAGATTTTTCCTTCTGTGTGTTGGATTTCAGAAATCATTTCTCGATTGTCTCTCTCTCTCCTCCTCCTCTCTTATGGATTTTTGTCATCCTTTTTACCTCATGTTTCCCATTGAGAGTGGGAAATGGGTGACATCTGATTCGAGATTTTTCCTTCTACGTTTCAGATTTCAGAAATCATTTCTCGATTTGAGCGCAAGGGGTTCAAGCTTGTGGCAATCAAAGTAGCGGCTCCTTCAAAGGCATTTGCCCAGAAGCATTATCACGATCTGAAGGAAAGACCCTTCTTTAATGGCTTGTGTGACTTCCTCAGCTCTGGTCCTGTAGTTGCCATGGTAAGAAGTGGAAATATTTATTATCATGAAAGGTAAACATTAGAACTCTGCTGAAAGGGTTCCAACTTATACAGGTCTGGGAAGGAGAAGGAGTAATAAGATATGGCCGAAAACTCATTGGAGCTACAGACCCTCAGAAATCTGAACCTGGAACAATCAGAGGTGATCTGGCTGTTGTTGTTGGAAGGTAAGAGGTTTTAAATGTGGAAAAATCAATCTTGCTTCCACGAACTTGATGATATTATAATAGCATTACGGTTGTTGATCTGCTATCTGTATATAATTGCATTTCGTAATGATTACCTTTTTTCCATGTAGGAACATCATACACGGCAGTGATGGCCCAGAGACTGCCAAGGATGAGATCAACTTGTGGTTTAAACCAGAGGAATTGGTTAGTTATACAAGCAATGCAGAGAAATGGATCTATGGAGATAACTAATCAAATTTTGTTATTCCTTCTGAAAATTTAAGTCCCACATGGAAGAGTGGGGTAGAAAAATAGTGTTTTTAGAATAAATATGTTTTTCATGGAGGTGAAAATTTTCCTGCCTAGACATCCAGAACTAGTTTCGGAAATAATCCAAGCAACCTGATTTTCAATTCGCTGCAATTTTCTTGTGCACAAACTAAAATTAAATATAATAATTAGATAAAATTATTGTTCATTTTATTAATCTTTATGAACGATTATAGTTTATGATTTTATTATTTATTTTAATTTTTTATTGTAAAAATTAGTCAAATTTAATTTAAATTTAATAAAATTGGTCCAAATAAATCTCGTTTCAAAGTTAAGATTAACAAAAAAATAAAAAATAAAAAAAAATAACAAAACATCTTCTAAAATTAAATTTATTATAATGATTCACGTGGCTACAGTGTTAACGAGACCAACCAATTTAGGGTTGCGGGAGTTCAATACAAAAGCCAAGTCGCTATTTAATTTGATTTACTCCAATTATTTAACAACTAAAATCAACGCTAAAAATATTACCTTTCTATAAAATGATTCTAATGCTACTTGCTGTACAATATAATTTCTATATCTTTTAAAATTCTATGCTATAGAATAAAAAATAATTAATTTAAAAATTAAAATTTAAATAACCTATATAGAGAATATTTTAGTCAACCATGTTCTAATGATAAAAGTCTCATTTTCATTAGTTACTCCCTTTTTTTTTTTTCTCTTTTGTAATTTTTAAGTTTTTTACTTTTTTAATTTCTTTATCTGTCTTTCATTTCTCTTATTTTCTTATTTCTAAACATTTTTTTGTTATGTTCTCATTAGTATGACAAAAATTAAAATTGAAGATTGAAAATAAATAAATTATTTTCGTGCATACCTTTCATCGCACATTTAATTTTTATTATTATTATTATTAGGCTAGACAAATTTGAGTATGATAAATGTCCTTATTTACTTAAACTTTTATCAAACATCAAGTAAAAACAAGAGGTATCCTAATTTTGTCATGAAAATGCATACATAATCAACAATAGAAAATGTTAGACAATGTGCTTTTCTTGCAAAATGTAAAGTATTTTGAGTTTTCACTATGCATTTTTGTCATAGGTTCTTCATGTGAAATTCAGAGCTCTATGTCTCTCATTTGGAGACTACTACTGTAAATGATTAAATTTATGCATTTCTTTTATAACTATTTTAATTAATTTAGATTATGTTTAGTTGTGCATCTCATTCACACTCTTTTCTATAAAAATAAAACTCGAACATCATACATCTCGTCACAATTGCCTCCACGAGAATAAAAGTAGAGCATCATGTATCTCATCTCAACCTCCTCTATGAAAATAAAAGCAATGTCATACATCTCATTCACAACTCCTCAACAAAAAATGAAAGTAAAATATCATGTCTCTTATCACAAACTCCTTAACAAAGATGAAAGTCGATGCAAAATGTTTTGAATTATGTCTAATTATCATTTAGTTTTTTTTTCTTTTTTTTTATGTTTATCATGAATTTTGTTAGAGCACAAATTATTACTCTTAGAAGAACTTTGAAATTTTAAAATAAATGAAAACTACTAAATTGTTTTCTATTTTTTTATTTTTGTGCTTTTAAAAAAAAATTAAAAACTCAATTGAACGAATTTAGCAACGAAAATTTTGCATGGGACTTTGGGAAAGTTCGACTTAAAATTTTGTGTTTTAATAAACAAAAGTTATTGAACAGTTCACAATAGTTATGAAGAGGACTTTTTCAAGATACAAAAGAATGAGAGTTTTTGCTAGATATCATATTTCTCACAAAAGGCTTATCTACCCCTTGATACCTAGAATTCTCAGTAGATCATATCGGAGTAAGAAAAGCTCATATTGTCTTAACCACTTTTTGATTTTCCATCAATAATTTCTTCCAAGTATTTGTGCATTTCGCGACATGCCCCAACATTTACTTATTTTGTCCATATATTTTCGATCATTTTTTCTTTATTTATTTATTTTTCTTCTTTATTTTTTGCTATTTTTTATGCTCATGTCCCCTTAAACCATTTGAAATTAGTATACATGGAATCAAACAAGGAACATAATTAGCAAAGCTCATCTATCACTGCTCTTTGATTATTTGGCATGTGTTAGAATAAAAAACGATTTTCAAATCAATAGATCTGTAAATCCGAATATACAATCTCATACTGAATTAATGAAAAATGTAAACGAAAGCATACATAAATTCATCGCGGAAGAATTATTCGCATCCGATGGTAGAATCTTTCGAATAAACACGATATTTCAAAAACTAGTTTTTTTATGATGGAATTTTAGAAAAATATCGGAGACCATAACCGCCTTTTATATCGACAAATTTTTATAATTCTTATTTTGCTTATCAGAAAACGAGAATATTACAAAAATAGTATTTGCAGACTACAAGTTCATACTTAAACTCGATGCATTAAAGTTCAATATTATTTAACCGTATTTGATCACTTTTAAACAAACTCATTAAATTAATAGTCTCATATGCATACCAAGTCTCACATTAAGCCCACATGTAAGAAAAAATCCAACAATCTCTCACTTGGGCTTTATGTGACACCTTAACTATGCGTTAAATAATCATACGAGTACTCAAAATTATGCTATCAATATCTGAATTCATCACCAAACAATCCTGTCCATCAACCATAACGACATAGGATCAAAACGGTCTTCGTTACAGCTACCATAGTTAAACTCATCAATTGTCACGTATATCAGTATAACCGAGCGTCATGGATCAAGCATGAATGTGCAGTATAAAAATTACATGCTATGTGATCTAAATATGCATATTTTTAACTGGTCATGCCTTAACCTTAGTGAGATCAACTGTAAGAAAACTCAAAGATAATATATATAAACAAAAATAAAAAAACATAAGAACTGAAAGGAAACAATATAACCATAAACCAAAATTAAAGTACAAAGTTTATGATATGTCTTATAAAATAAATGCACCTATGGTACAAGACTTCCATGGAACCTATACATCATCTAATGATACAACACCCATATGAGCAGTGTACTCATGAAAGACCTTAAGTAATAATCCCTTAATGAGCGAATTCGCAATCATGAAGTTTGTTTCAATGTGCTCTATCAATATCTGTTTACTCTGAACTTTTTTTAACAAGGAACTTGATATATATATATATATATATATATGTTTTGACTTCGTCGAACTCCTATGTCATCAACAATACGCAGCTCTATGATAAAATTTCACAATCATATTCAATGATTGAATGTCTCATAACAAGGTACAAACTTTGTTGCACAGTAGAAGAGGCTACAAATGTTTGCTTAACACTTCTTTAGGAAATAACTCCCCCATCAAGCAAGTAGATATAGTCTAATGTAGATTTTATGTTGTCTTGACATCCGGAGAAATTAGAATCAGAATGACTAATAATCTCCAACTAATCTGACCTCCTGTATATGAGCAATAACTTTTTGTTCTCTATAGATATCGTATGACATGTTTGACTGCTTTCTAATAATTCATACCTGGATTGCTTAAATATCTACATAACATCCCAATAATATATGTAATATCCGGATGCGTACAAACTTGTGCGTACATAAGACTCCCTACAACTGAAGTATAAGAAATTTTTTACTTCTCCATAGTCTCTAGGTCATTTTTTGGGTATTGACTTAGAGTAAACTTGTCTCCTTTAGGTAAATGGGAGTCACCTGATTTACAATCATGCATACCAAACCTTTTAAGAACTTTTTTCGATATAACTCTTTTTGTGATAATTTAATAATACTTCAAGAGCGATTCTGGTGTATCTAAATCCCTAATATAAAAAGACATGTTCTCAAGATTTTTTATTTCAAATTTCTTTATAAAAAATCTTTTTGGTTTCGTGCAATAAGTATATATCACTACTGCCAAACAATATGTCATCGATATATTAAACAAAAAATATATTTACTCATACTGAACTTATGGTATACACAATTTTTTTACTAAATTCTCTCAAACTAAACGAGATGATGACTTGATGAAATTTATGATACCATTGACGGGAAGCTTGCTTAAGTGCATAAATGGATTTTTTTAGTCTATAAACCATTTGTTGTGCATCTCCAAATACAAAGTTTTCTAGTTGCACTATATAAATTATCTCATCAATATCACTATTGAGAAACGTTGTCTTAACATCCATATGATATAACTCAAAATAAAAATGCATCACTAAAGCTATTATAGTCCTGAAAGAGTCTTTCCATGAAATCAGAGAGAAAGCCTCTTTATAATCAATGTTTTCTTTTTGCGTAAAGCCTTTAGTGACAAAACGAGATTTATACCTCTCCACATTATCTTTTGAATCCTTATCCATTTGTAATCAATGAGTTTCGCATTCTTAGGTAATGGGACAAGATCCCAGTCCTTCATGGACTTTATCTCTTCATTGATAGTATCAATCAACTTTTGAGAGTTAGAACTTTTCATTACTTGATGAAAGTTGATAGGATTATCTTCTACCATACCAATGTCAAACTTATGTTTTTGGAGATATACAATATAATAATCTAGAATTACACTTATTATCTCTCTAATGGATCTCCTTAATGACATAAGTTCTTGAGGGTGTAAAGTTTGTACTTTAGGAACAGTTTGAACATGAACGAGAGATACTATAACATTGTTTTGATCTAGATTTGTTTCTTAAACAATACTAGCTATAAGAGTCTGATCCTGATCATTGTCAAGAGCAATTGAATGAATAGGAATATCGACCCATTAACCTATTCCTCTTCAAAGACAAGGTCTCAGACTCTTTGCCCCCCTGCAAACTCAAAATCCTTCAAAAACTGGACAGTTCTAATCTTAAAAATTATCTTAGCAGTGGGATCATAAAATTTGTAACCCTTGAATTGTTTAGAATAACTAATAAAATAACAACTACCAGTTCTGGAGTCTAATTTTTTTTCCTATGGTCTATAAGGTTTGTCCTCAACTGGATATCTCTAAATGTGCAAATGTCTCAAACTAGACTTTTTGCCCATCTAAAACTCATAAGAGGTCTTTGTAGTTGTTTTAGTTGGAACTCTATTAATTAAATATGTTGCAGTCTTTAATGCTTCTCC